GAAGATGAGGACGCGTCCCTCGCGCTTGCACCACAAACTCAACAATTGTTTGATGAAAGCTTGCCGGTCCACGACATGTACGATCCATCATGGCGTACGGATAGTTCCGAGGAAGAGGTTGATGAAGGTCTTGTTCCGAACAGCGAGTCATCGGATACAGATGTCGATGGTGATTTTGATTGTTGTCCGTCAACTACAGTTGGTCAACCAATTCCATCGCCCGACATTGTCGGAATGCAAGATCCTCCAGTTGTAGGTATGTAACCATTAATAACCGTGTTAGTGGTTTATGTTATGTCATATTAACAAATTATATGATTTTGGGGTTTTGGATATGTTATTGTGCAGTAAATGATAATGTACCATTTTGGGATGGAATCAGCGATTTCAAGAATTGGAAGATATGCATGGAGCACAAATACCTAACTGGCAGATGGGGCACGAGCTATATAAGGACCAATTGTTCGACACCAAACAAGATGTACAGATCGCAATTAAACAATATTGTATGGAAAATCATCGCACAACAATCGTAGAGAAAAGTGATACGAAAAGGTTGATAATGGTTTGTCAAAATCATAACGCCGGTTGTCCATGGAGGATGAGAGCATACCAAAAAAAGGGTGGCAGTGAATGGGTTATAGGTATATGGAACAACGAACATACATGTGTCAGTCAGAGTCTTACCCAGGATCACAAGCAGTTGGACTCAAATCTCATTTGTTCATTGATCTTAGGTGCGTACAAGTTAATGTATCAAATTTTTAAATTACTTGTTCCAGTTAACTAATACATTCTTGTTTGACGACATGCAGAAATGATAAGAGAGGAGCCCAGTGTCAAAATTGCGCTAATCCAAGAAAGGATAGCTACGATCCTTGGATTCCATATATCATATAGGAAGGCATGAAAGGCAAAGCAAAAGGCTATTGTAAAAGTATATGGTGACTGGGATGAGTCTTATGCCTTCCTACCCAGGTGGTTGGATTACATGTTACGTTTTTCACCAGGATCCGCCTATAAGCGTGATTTCGTGACCATTTCATTGATGGATGCCTAGACCAAGCTCACAAGGTCTTCAGAAGGGTGTTTTGGACATTTAAACAGTGTTGTGAAGCTTTCAATTATTGCAAGCCAATTATCCTCATTGATGGCACTCATCTTTATGGCAAGTATCGGGGAACCCTCATGATTGCGACAGCAGTACATGGCAACAATTATATTCTTCCAATTGCATTCGCTATCGTTTCTGCCGAGAATACTGATAATTGGTCATGGTTCTTGGCACTTATTCGAATGCATGTGACACAAAAGCATAGAATATGTCTCATTTCTGATCGACATCCGGGAATCCTGTCTGCGATAAACAATGTTGATCTCGGATGGACCCCACCACAGGCATACCATGTTTATTGCCTTCGCCACGTGGGCAGTAATTTCAATCACAAATTCAAGAATGTTATGTTGAAGAAGTAGTTGAAGAAGTTAGGTATGTTTTTAAATTATGTGTCACGTATAATGGGATGTTTTGTTATATATTGGTGTGCTATGTGTAGGCTATACAACATCGCGTTTGGACTTTGATGCTGGTTTAGAAAAATTTAAAGAAACAAGCCCGCAAATAGCGGCCTAGATTGATCGTATACCTAAAGAGAAGTGGAGTATCTCTTACGATGAACAAGGAAGAAAGTTTGGCCACATGACAACAAACCTGTTAGAGTGTGTTAATAAAGTTCTCAAAGGTGCACGAAACCTTCCAATTACCTCACTTGTGCGTATAACTTTCAGTAGACTGGTGGCATATTTTTTGGAGCACGGACAGGAAGCACGTGAGGAGATGGATCGAGGTAATCGCTTTGCCAAAGTTATGTGGCGAGCATATGTGGAAAATCAACGAAAGATCGCAACACATTATATAACTTCTTACGACGCGCAAAGGACAATTGGTCCTGAGTGAAGGAGTCGTATAATGTACGTACTCATCGTGGGGGTAAAAAATGGTCAGTATCGCTATCTGATCGTACATGCCAGTGTGGTGAGTTCACTGCGTTTAGGTTCCCGTGTAGCCATGTCATTGTGGCATGTACATCCACGCATCACGATCCCACACAGTACATAGACCCTGCGTACAATGCCAAGAATCAATGTGAAATTTATTCGCCTCAATGGTATCCAATTGGTAACGAGGAATTCATACCACCATATGCACAGGCAACAGTTATTCCGGATGTGTCTATGAGACGTCAAAGAGGAAGGCCCAGAAGTACTCGCATTCACAATGAAATGGATTCGCGGGAGGGCGCAATTACACGAACAAGATGCGGTTATTGTAGAGAGGTTGGTCATAATAAACGGCACTGTCCGTCGCGACAGCAACCACAACCACCCGCTTAATGTGATATATGTACTAATGGAACGTATGTGATGTATTTCCATAATATTAGTGTGGATTTAGTGATGTATGTACATCATGTGTGTAATGTAATCGTTTTATTAGTGTGGCATATTTCTATCATGATAAACAAAATGGCACAATGGATTCACGGCGTTCATTGGAATTGTCCACAAACCCGACACAACAAATGGCACATAAGCATACGTTATGAATAACTATAAGCATAAGTTTTAAATAGATGCCAAAAAATAAAGCAAAGTAAACAGCACCGACACTACAAATATCCATATAAGTCTAAATACATCCTACACAACGAGAAATAAGCAGTAAAAATAAAGTGTCCAGAGTCCTTGTACAATATCCATATAAATCTAAATACGCCCTACACTACAAATATCAGTACATCAGTGTGGTCGAGCATGAAACCCCGCACATTTCAAAGTATCATGGTCAAATGGTGATAGCACGCATGTAAACCTGGCCTGTCGAACGAGGTTTCTCCTAATCTCCTCAGCATCAGCACCAGGAACTGGGTCATCAGCAGCAACAACATCAGCACCAGCAACACCATGATCGTCTGTGGCCGCCTCCCCCATGGCCTCAGCTAAATCCTGCGCTGAAAACTCCCCAAATGGCTGAGAATGTGGCGACTGCAAAAAACTGGTCGAGTATGCTGTCGGAGTGGCCATGACCGCATCAGAATCCTCAGCCTCAGTTTGCACATGAACCTGCACCTGCGGCTGAGCATGTGAATGTGATGGATCGTGAGGTGGAGCAGTAGCCCTGTAATACTCTGTGAATGAGTCTAATCCTTGCGTAGGCTGTGAACTACTACCACCTGCATACATGGGGTACGACTGCGATGGAAACCCATACTGACCCATAGGAGGACAAGTGGACCAGGGTGGATACGGTGCAGGATGAAACCCAGGCTGAGCACCGGTATAGGCTGGGGGCCACCAATACTGCTGAGAAGGACCTGATGGAAAGCTTAGAGAATAATACATACCTGCGGAACAGGGGGGAATTGGAGGGACTACAACCGGCGTATCAGCAACAGGAGGCGTGGAGTGGTGAAGGGGCAAACCCTCTATGCGTGCACGTCGACTACGACGCTGGACAGGAGGAGGATCCGGAGTAGATCGCACTACTAGTGGGGCTGCGGGCTCTCTAGGGTCCGTCAATCTATTAATATCATCACACGCTGCAAGACATCTGAGTGCCTCGTGATAGACCTGATCCATAGTGAACGATGCACGGCCCTCTGGCGAAGACATATGGACCACAGTCTCCGCGTGATCAGCCTATACAACATATATTTCAACAACAAGTTAGTAACCGTAAAATTCGATGTAAACAACTTAACAAGAGAAATAATACGTACCACGTGTGTCGCAACTGCAGTCCTGCGAGTCATCCATCGACGGCTAACTCTATGAAACCACGCAATTAGTGGACAAACTGAAATCCATCTGCGGGCAGTGTCAGTAGTAGGTGCATTAAACTCGAAGCCCAGGTATGGTCTCCAACGACACTGTCGTCTACGCATCACGTCCATATGATGGCAGTACCTGCGAATGTGTGTAAACACAGTCTGGCGCACATCATAACTGTTAAACCTGCATTAATCAGCTATGTAGCACCGATACCGACACGAGACACGTGACACTCCGACACGACACTCCGACACGTTAGTTCTAAAAAATATTAGATTTCGACACGTTAAGACACGTTTTGATATTAAATAATATTTTTAATTTATGTAGTGAATATTACATTTAATATTCAATAATTTAACCAAAAAATGAATGTAATATTCTGATATTTATAAACTTTGCAAAGAAACATAAGATATCCCAAATATTTATATTAAACTCAATGAAATGGTAATCGTAATACAACGAATCTAATAGTTGGAACTAAAAACTCAACACAACGCAACTTTTGAACCTTTTTTTGATTTTCTATAACGCGTGTTGGAGTGTCGGGGAGTGTCGGGGAGTGTCGGAGTGTCCGAGAGTGTCGGGAAGTGTCGGACACGACACGTCAGGGTTTTTGAAGGGTCGGTGCTTCATAGTTAATCAGCACATATGTATTACCAAACTTTAATATAAACAAGTTCAAAAACGAAAAGATGAACAAGTCACATAGACAACGGATAAATACCTCGCTTCATAAATGGCATCGATGAATTATTTGCAAACATAATTCGCTACACTGTGTAGCGAATTATCACGCGTGACATTTTGGAAAATTTTACTGTTCGCGTGACAGTCTGGTAATTTTTTGGTCAAAACGTTCCCCAAAATGGAGCATTACTATATTAGAATTCCGAAGGAAAAAAAAAAATCTAATCAACTCTATATTCTAGGGTAAGAATGAAAATTTGAAGGCGAAATCCAACCTCACAAAAACTATTTATTAGAAGAATCGTTGTCTGTTATACAAAAAAAAAAAAAAAAAATCGTTGTCCAATCTCCAATTTAACTATTTTTTAGTTCATTGACCATTCAACAAGCCCAATACATTCAAGCCGCCACCACTGTCCCTCTCCCTTTCGGCTATTTCGGGAAGAGCCCACACAATCAGTGTATCCAAGAAGAAGAGAGACAAAAATCACACTGAATTTTTATTACAATACAATGCTGGAATGCATCTCCTTCAAATCGTTTACTCCTTCAATCACCAACCTTCCTCATCATCCTCCTTCTGCACCCCTTTCCCAAGGTAAATAAAAAAATAAAAAAATTTATAACTGAATCCCCCTTTCATTTCAACACCTACTGCCTGTTTGTTAAAATGCCTCACCGAATCTTAGCATTTTTTGTTTCACTTTCCCAGAAAACTCGACGGAACAAAACACTCCCGCAACAAGCACACGTTCTTCCCCTGCTCCAAATGTCTCTCGCGAATACGATCTCGCCGTGCAAGCCCACTCCTACAATGAAATTCGCTCCATGGTCCAAGCCCCTCCACAGGTAGAACACATCGAGGAAAACGAGAACGATGAAGACTCTCACCACCGCCACGTCCTCTCTCAGGTTCTCCAACCCGATCCGCAAAGCGTCCGTGAAACACTCGCCAATGCTAAACCTAACAGCACCCTCACGCGCCTCGTTTCCACTTACTTCGACCACAGCGAAACCACCTCCGACCTCTGCCTCCTCCTCTGCCGCAGCGTCCACCGCGCCCGCCACATCTACTCCCCTCTCTCGGATCTCCTCTCCGTCCTCCCCGCAGACCTCTCTCAATCGCACTGCGACCGCGTGTATGATATCTTCCTCCAATTCGACAGTGAAGAAAACCCTTTCTTCTTTCCACATTCCCATAGTTTCACCAACTTGCGTCGCAGCTTCTCTGAACTCAAGCTCAGTGTCGATCTCAATCGCCAGAAGTGTCACTCCAGAATTCGGTTCCTTAGCCACGCCACCGCCGGTTGCGCGGTTTGCGTCGTTATAACCGCCGTCGGAGCTGTCGTTTCCGCCGCGGTTGTTGCCACCCATGCCGCGGCTGGGTTCGCCGCCGTGGCTGCTGCACCCTTTTGCAATGCGTCGTGCATTCCTCGTCCCAAGCAAAGTGAAAGGAAGGAAATTGCTAGGTTGAAGCAGCTTGATGCTGCTGCTAATGCTATTTTTGTGGTGAATGATCTTGACACCATTGATAGCCTCATTGATCGGCTTCAAACGCAGTTTGAAGGCGATAAGGCTCAGGTTCGGTTTGCATTGCAGAGGGGTAGGGATAGGCACCCCTTACAGGAAGTGCTGAAGCAACTCCGCAAGAGCCAACCAGTTTTTGAACAGCTGCTTAATGATCTTGAGCAACATATATACCTCTGTTTTTATGCTATTAACAAGGCCAGATATGCACTCCTCAAAGAGATATCCCTTCATCAAACTTTGTAGTTAGTTTCTATCAAACTCTGCCCTTTTTTTATGACATATTCACTTAAGCATGTGCAACTGACCAACAATTAAGGATTTAGGCTCTGTTTATAATTTGTGACACTGTATGTTTTACAGAACCCCTTATGTATTCACCATTGGGTTCATTCTCTACCTGCCAGCATTTTACTTGCCATCAAATTTTAGATCTTAAATAAGAAGGATTTTTGGTATAGGGTCAATATTTTACTAAGAGATTAGGGATTTATGCTCTGTGATAGTATGTAATCATTGTTATGCATCATGATGTACTTCATAGTGTTAAATGTAAATTTGTAATGATATCATTTTTTGGTTCTGTTTATAATGCTAATGATTGTATTCCTCTGGGGATTTTGTATACCTTTCGTGTTGTTTTTACTGTTTAGTCGTCTGTCCAGTGAGTCTTTAGGTGTAGATTCTACCTAGCTGTTACTGCGTGGTTGTTTATTTGGTTTTCTAGTTTTCTCCTGATATGTTCGAAGAGGAATACATGCAGTTTCATTGTTTTTAGTTCCGGTTGACTGTCTCCCAAGTATTCTCATTTCATTTTGCAAAACAGTGTGAAGAAACCACAGCTATATATGGAGACTAATTAGTTACTCTTTCTCATTAACGTTCCATTTATTGCCTATTGAGTACAAATTCCAGTCCTAAAGTTCACCTTGTGTTAAATATAATTTGAAATTTTACTGAGGAACTCTGCGCTCACATTTTTATTTGTCAATCTAATTTCTTTGTGAACTTTGAAACTGAGAGCTTTCTTCTGCATTTATCTTGGTTGTATCACCAGTGTGACAATGTCACACTGGAGATGCGACAGTGTCAGTGTTATAAACTTCCATACAAAGCTGTTTATAATTATACACGGGGTTCTTTATGGCCATAGCCTCATATAGCACTATCACATTGTCAATCTGTTAGCAAGCCGCACTTAAAGAGGGTGTGCCATAGGAAGAAAGGAAGTGGATGTAGGGAGCAGGACACCACGTGTGACTGAAGAGGCTGAAAATGAATAAGGATATTCTTTTAATTGGGGGGAAAGAAAGGTAAGAGAGAATGAGGCAAGAAAGAAGTGAGTGGAAAGGTGTGGGAAAGACCAGGCCTCTAGAAGTGCCTGGGCTATCTGTATTTTCTCTTTGTTTCAGCGAGTTATACAGAGTTTCTGTATACATTACTGATATCAGTAGCAGATTATAGTACTCAATACCTCTTTCAAATCATTCTGTTTCATTATCGTCTGTTCTATCACTTTTGTAGTATTAGTGACTTAAACACCTGTGGCTACTGAAGTTCGCTAGTCATGCTCATGATGTCCAAATGGAATTTGGTTTTTCTGTTTTAATAAATAACTCAGGAAAAAAGTTCCTCAAAGTGAATTTGTCGATAACTTGAGCAAGTAAAAGTGTATCCACTCTTGGCTAAGATTACGGTACATTTTAAATTAAATCAATGGTTAGTAGTACACTTTTACTTCCTCACTTTAGAGGAACCTTATTCATAAATGAGTTACTTCATAGAGGATTACAGTGGTAGTGTAATTTTGTGATTGTGTTGATATATAATTATCAGCACTCCAAGTAATTAGATAATTTCAGCAATGAGTATGGGGGACGAATATGAATGTTAAATATAGTTTAATAACTGTGAAATGTTAGATCAAGAGTAGCACCTACTGTGTAATTTTCTTTTAAAAACTGAAGAGGATCCATATTTCATCTCAACTGTACGTAATCTTCCTCTCATCAGCATCAATTGATCAGTTTTAAGCTGTTTTGTGTGGACACTGTCTAGGCAGAAATTCTTATAGATGCTGGAGAATGCTATTATGTACAATGACAACCATTGTACCCATAGTGGAACTGTGTACAGTTTGTTGCTTATACAAATACCATTCAGAGGTGCCATTGTATAGTTTTTATTTTTTATTTTTTAGTTATTATATGTATATATATGTGGAAATTATTTTTCTCATATTGCAGTAAGGAAAAAAAAAATTGCAACCACTACAGACTACAGTGGTTGTGTGAGGTTATTGAATTATTGTCCATCTGAATGAATCAAACTGACAGGCAGTACTTACTTTTCTACACACATGAATCCCAAACACTTTTATGTATGTGTAACTGTTTGGGATTCATAATAGCATATTATGAAAAAATATATATTAGAAAAAATAAATTATTTTTCTATACATATAAAAATGTGAGGTTCATATTTTCTTTTCCTCTATCTTCTCTATACCTGACTCCATATGAATCTTAAACACTTTTATGTATGTGTAAGTGTGCAGGAGATTTTACCGCTTATAATATGAGAAATATTAATATATTATATATATATATGTATATGAAGTAGGATTTTTTGACACCAGTGTCAAATTTGAAGTTTGACATCTCATCTGAGAGTCGTTAGATCAAAAAAGATTAATGGTGTTACATGCTTACAAATCAGAGTCGTTGATTTTTTCTAAGATTGAGAAAATTTATGATATATATATATATATAGAAAATTATATTATATTATATTTTTTTTTATTAATATCATTGCATTTCTTTGTTAACTTTTTATATTGACTCTTGTAATTTTGAATGTTTGTTAGAAATTCATATGATTTTTTAAAATCTTATAAATCCATATTATCTTTTCAAAACTTATAAATTCTATTAAAATCTTTTAAAATTCAATCTTATGAAATCTTGATTGTAAAAAAAGTCTTTTAAAAAAGTTTTTAAAATCTCTCCAGTTCTGAATAGTCTTTTAAAATCTATAAGATTTTTTATCTTAAAAAAGTCTTTTAAAATCCTAATCTAATACACCGCGCTAGGGATGTGCATGGGTTGAACCGAACCGGTTTTTTTGAAAAATCGAACCGAATTGGTTTAAATGATTCGGTTCGAAAGTGGTTCGGTTCAAAATTGGTTTGGTTCGGTTCGGTTCGAAATTGGTTCGGTTGTCGACCCTCTTTTGAAAAGAAAAAAATTTAAAAATTTAAAAAATAAAGTTATAAAATTTAATTTGGTTCGGTTCGGTTCGGAAATAGTTCGGTTCTTAAACCGGTTCTAAAAATCGGTTTGGTTCTTAAACTGGTTCAAAAAACTGGTTTGGTTCATGAACTGGTTCTTTAAAAACCGGTTCGGTTCATGAACTGATTTTTAAAATTCGGTTATTTTATGGGACGGTTTGGTTCGGTTCATGATTCGACCTAATTTTTTGATTATTTTGCATAGTCCTAGCTCCACCGAGTGAACCTGTTATCTTTAAAATTGAATATTAGAGAGATATTCCTTTGTCTTCCATTAGCTACAAACGGATGCACTTCATCTCATCCCTGTACTCCTAATACCACTTGCGCGTTTGTTTTTGTTTTTATTTTTTCGGTAAAGTTTTAGGGTTTGCTTTTTCTGCAGTTACTGCAGATAATTTATCTGCAGTAAGCTTAATACAATATGGTTTTAGGGTGGAAATCATGATATTTTTGTAATTTTAATTTATTTCAGAATTATAATAGTCTTTATATTTATAATTTTTTAAAATTTCAATATCAAAACGACGCCGTTTTGAGAATAAATGCAGATAACTTATCTGCATTAACTGCAGAAATATGTTTGCCAAAATTTTAACTTAGTTGGAGCCTATGTTTAGTGATCTTAAACTAGTGCTTCCTCTTTTTTTTTGGTAAACAAACTAGTACTCCCTTTATTAAAATTAAAAAAAATGAAAAATGAAAAATGAAATTCGTAGGACATTAATCACAAAGGCAGAGGTAGAATAAATATGCAGTCAATATCGAAAATATTTTCCTTAATTGGGCTTTGCAACTCTAGTAACAAAATAATAATAATTCACTCATTCACCAAAAAAAAATAACAATTCACTTTATTATATCGCACACAGTTTGCGGTTAGTACAAGAGGATTGAATTACATTCATCGCATCTAGTAAAACTGAAAAGGCAACATGACTATTGAGATATTTTTTTTGGGGGAAGTAAAGTGTATTTTATTTTCAAAAAAACATTGCTCTTCTTTAGCTCATCCTTTAACTTTTCTATTTTATCACTTTATTTTCTCGAAATTTGATTTTAAATGAAAACATTAATTTTTTTTAGTTTAATCAAACGGAACCTACTAAACGCAAATATCCCAAGACCTTACTATTACAAAAAATTTTATATATATATATATTTTTTTTTTGGTAAAAGTGGAGGGCCTAGCCCAGAAGAATTAAATTGAAAGCTGATGCATGTCAAAAGAAACATGTTTCATCAGCAGAAAGCTACAAAATTCTTTCCAAAGAGGAAAAATGCTAGTAGGGGGAGAGGAATACACATTCAACTCTCTACCCCTACCTTTCCAACCTAAAGAAGCTAATCTGTCAGCACAGAAATTAAATTCTCTCAGAACATATTCAAAATAAACATGTTCCAAGGAATGAACAATACTTCTAATCTTCCTAACTAACAGGGAACTACCATCTGTTTCAGTTGAGGAGTTAATACAAAAAATAGCTTCCTTGCTATCACAGCCGATCCATACTTCCTTGAAATTCAGATCCTTCACTATTTGAAGACCTTGCCAAATTCCCCAAAGCTCAGCTTCAAGGCAAGAACAGCTGCCAATATTGAGAGAGAAGCCAGATAACCACTCACCCTTAGAGTTGCAAATAAAACCTCCACAAACTCTAGCTTTGGAGTTCAAATTGACAGCTCCATCAACCAGAATTTTAACAGCTTCCTTTTGAGCATTACTACAGCAACCAATAAAAGAGGAATCTCTATTTGCACCTGGGAAAAAGGATCACTGCTGCAACATTTTTTCATATCTTTTAAATAAATCAGTATCCTACTCAAAGGATCCCCAGGCCAAGAGAACATGTTATCATGTACCATAAGGTTTCGCCAATGCCATAAGAACCAACAAGTGACAAAAAAGGCTTCATTCCAGGATTGCCAGTAAATGGATGAGAAGGACTTACAAACATTGAGCTTAAACCAATCGATACCCTCTGCTGCCAAAAAGGCTTCTGGTACATTTCCTCCAAACCATTGCTCCCAAACACTTCTGACTCTTTTGCAGTCACGCAGCACATGCAAGATTGTCTCCTGGTTGTCAAAACAAGTGGGACAGGATGTCTCTCCACCACTCCAAAGTCCAGTAATGCTTCTAACAGGGAGCTTGTTCAAACAAGCCAGCTATAAGAATACTGCAATCCTATAT